ATCAGCTATAGCTCTGGGATCAGCGCGTGGACGAACGGCGAGCAGTGGCAGCGGGCTCTCTCGCTGCTCAGCGAGATGTGGGAGGCGGAGGTGGAGCCAGATGCCATCAGCTATAGCTCTGGGATCAGCGCGTGCGCGAAAGACCAGCAGTGGCAGCGGGCTCTATCACTGCTCAGCGGGATGTGGGAAGTGAGATCGGAGCCGAATGTCATCAGCTACAGCTCTGGGATCAGCGCGTGCACGAAAGGCGAGCAGTGGCAGCGGGCTCTATCGCTGTTCTGCGAGATGTGGGAAGTGAGGTCGGAGCCAGATGCCATCAGCTACAACTCTGGGATCAGCCCTGGGATCAGAGCGTGTACGAACGGCGAGCAGTGGCAGCAGGCTCTCCCACTGCTCAGCGAGATGCGGGAGGCGAAGGTGGAGCCAAGTGTCATCAGCTACAGCTCCGGGATCAGCGCGTGCACGAACGGCGAGCAGTGGCAGCGGGCTCTCTCGCTGCCCAGCGAGATGTGGGAGGCGAAGGTGGCGCCAAGTGTCATCAGCGACAATGCTGGGATCAGCGCGGGCGAGAAGAGGGGGCAGTGGCAACAGGCATTCGTGCTGCTCAGCGCGATGCTGGACGCGAAGCTGGGGCCCGACGTCGTGGGTTACGGCAGGCGGGCAGGGCCGGCGGGCGCTGCGGCCCCGGGCCGCCGGGCTGGGGCAGCTCTGGCGGCCTTCGCGGGCGGCCTTGCCCGGGCACGGAGCGGAGCCGGCCGGGCCAGGGCCTCGAGCGCTCCCGCGGCTTCGAGGCCGAGGCACGCCGGGCGGCTCGGCCGGGCGGGCGGCGGGCGGCGGCGGCTGGCGGCGCGAAGACCGCGCGGTGGCCGGCGGGCCCGCCGGGCCGCCTAAGGCGACCGCGGGCGTCGGCAGCCCAGCCAGGGGCCAGCCGGAGGGAGCCAGGTGCAGCAGCCCCTTTCGCTGCGGACTCGGCCAGGGACTGGGACTGGGACTGGGAGAGGAAAACAAAAAAAAAAAACATCGCGGCGGTCCCTCGCGGTCAGCAGCAGTGGCACGCGCTGGTCTGCGTGTACTGTAGACGTCGTCAAGGCACGCGCGTACCGTCTCTGATGGTTGCCGCCGCGCGCGCGCGCGCGCCATGTCCACGGCGCCGTGTTGCGCCCAGGAACACAGCGCTGACATGAGCAGGGTCGCCCTGCCCCCCTCCCGCCATGCCCCACCTCGCGCGCAACTCCTGCGCCGCCTCCCCCAGGAGGCACGCTGACGGCAGGCATTAGAAAGCAGCACAAAAGAAGGCCCCAGGCAGCGACAGAAGCTTCTCAATCACGCAGTCGCGCCGCACGCGGTCGAAGGCCCCAAGGCCGTCGATGCTCGCGACAGTAACGGCAGGGTCAGCGCCCGTGGCAGCGCACAGAGGGTGGGCGGCACTGTTTGTCACGGCTCGCGTCGACAGCGCGCGCCGCAAAAAGGCGCGCAAGCCCCGCCCATCTCTGGCCCGAACTGTCGATTTGCTGGCGCCGAGGCGGACCTGGGCAAGTGTTGCATGTGGAATCGTAGCGGCTTCGAGCCCGCAGGCCACGTGCTCCTGGGTGCAGACGTCCCTGGGTGGGCGGTGCCCGCGCGCCCGAACAGCGCTGGGGCCTGAAGGTGCTGGGCACGTCCCTGGCCGCGCTGCTGGTTCACGGCCAGGTCGACTCAAGAACGGACAGAAGAGGAACGCAGCGCCCCCCAAGGGCGTCCACCCCGCCGCCGCCGCCGCCCTCGGGGCGGCGCTGGCGGCGCAGCTTTCGGCCTCCGCGCGGCCGCGCCGCCGCCGGCCGCCGCGCTTCGCCGCGGCGCCTGGCCCGTCGCCGCCTGCCGCAGGTCGGCCGCAGGCCGCCGCGCCTCGCCGCCAGTCCTGCCGCCGCTGGTCGCCGCGCCCGCTGCCGCAGGTCGCTGGGCAGAGGGTTGTGGCTTAGGAGGGCTGAATCCTCCCCCCTCTGCCCGTGCACGAACCTGCGGCGGCGCTGCGCCTCGCGGCGGTGCGTTCGCCCTCCGCGCCGCCGCGCTGCCTCGGGCCAGCGCCAGCGTCTCCTCCGCCGCCTCTGCCGCCGCCGCCGCCGCCGCCGCTCCGCATCCTCTCCTCCGCCTCCTCCTCCTCCTCCTTCCTCACTCCTCCTCCTCTCCCTCCTCCGCCGTCCTTCCTCCTCCTCCTCCTCCTCCTCCTCCCTCCTCCACCTCCTCCTCCTCTGTGCTGCTGGCTGCTGGTGGTGGTGCTGCTAGTCCCCGTCGTCCCTGGTCGTAGTGGTGCTGGTCGCCGTGGTGGTGCTGGTCGCCGTAGTGGTGCTGGTCGTGGTGGTCCTCCTGGTCGTAGTGGTGCTGGTCGCAGTGGTGGTGCTGGTCGCCGTGGTGGTGCTGGTCGCCGTGGTGGTGCTGGTCGCCGTGGTAGTGCTGGTCGTGGTGGTCCTCCTGGTCGTGGTGGTGCTGGTCGCCGTGGTGGTGCGGGTCGTAGTGGTGCTGGTCGCCGTAGCGGTGCTGGTCGCCGTGGTGGTGCTGGTCGTGGTGGTCCTCCTGGTCGTGGTGGTGCTGGTCGTAGTGGTGCTGGTCGTGGTGGTGCTGGTCGCCGTGGTGGTGCTGGTCGTAGTGGTGCTGGTCGCCGTGGTGGTGCTGGTCGCCGTGGTGGTGCTGGTCGTGGTGGTCCTCCTGGTCGTGGGGCTGGTTGTGGTGGTGCTGGTCGCTGTGGTGGTGCTGATCGCCGTGGTGGTGCTGGCCGTGGGCGTGGTGGTGCTGGTCGTGGTGGTAGTGGTAGTGGTCCTCTGGCCGTGGTCGTGCTGGTCGTGGTGGTGGTGGTGCCGGTCGTGCTGGCCGTGGTCGTGCTGGCCGTGGTCGTGGTGGTCGTGGTGGTCCTCCTGGCCGTGGTCGCGCTGGTCGTGGTGCTGGTCGCCGTGGTGGTGCTGGTCGTGGTGCTGGTCGTGGTGGTTCTCCTGGTCGTGGTGGTGCTGGTGGTGGTGCTGGTCGCTGTGGTGGTGCGTAGTCGTGGTGCTGGTCGCCGTGGTGGTGCTGGTCGTGGTGGTGCTGGTCGCCGTGGTGGTGCTGGTCGTGGTAGCCCTCCTGGTCGTGGTGGTGCTGGTCGCAGTGGTGCTGGTCGCCGTGGTGATGCTGGTCGCCGTGTTGGTGCTGGTCGCCGTGGTGGTCCTCCTGGTCGTGGTGGTGCTGGTCGTGGTGGTGCTGGTCGCCATGGTGGTGCCGGTCGCCGTGGTGGTGCTGGCCGTGGGCGTGGTGGTGCTGATCGTGGTGGTGGTGGTCATAGTGGTCCTCTGGCCGTGGTCGTGCTGGTCGTGGTGGTGGTGGTGCTGGTCGTGCTGGCCGTGGTGGTGGTGGTCGTGGTCGCCGTGGTGCTGGTCGTGGTGGTGGTCGTAGTGCTCCTCTTGGCCGTGGTCGCGCTTGTCGTGGTGCTGGTCGCCGTGTTGGTGCTGGTCGTGGTGGTCCTCCTGGTCGTGGTGGTGCTGCTCGTGGTGGTGCTGGTCGCCGTGGTGGTGCGTAGTCGCGGTGCTGGTCGTGAAGGTGGTGCTGGTCGCCGTGGTGGTGCTGGTCGCCGTGGTGGTGCTGGTCGTGGTAGTTCTCCTGGTCGTGGTGGTGCTGGCCGTGGTGGTGCTGGTCGCTGTGGTGGTGCTGGTCGCCGTGGTGGTGCTGGTCGTGGTGGTGCTGGTCGTGGTGGTGGTGCTGGTCGCCGCGGTGGCGCTGGTCGCCGTGGTGGTCCTCCTGGTCGTGGTGGTGCCGGTCGAGGTGGTGCTGGCCGCCGTGGTGATGCCGGTCGCTGTAGTGGTGCCGGCCGTGGTCGTGGTGGTGCTGGTTTCGGTAGTGGTGGTCGTCGTGGTGGTCCTCTGGCCGTGGTCGTGCTGGTCGTGGTGGTGGTGGTGCTGGTCGTGCTGGCCGTGGTCGTGCTGGCCGTGGTCGTGCTGGCCGCGGTCGTGGTGGTCGTGGTTGTCCTCCTGGCCGTGGTCACGCTGGTCGTGGTGGTGGTCGCCGTGGTGGTGCTGGTCGTGGTGCTGGTCGTGGTGGTTCTCCTGGTCGTGGTGGTGCTGGTGCTGGTGCTCGTCGCTGTGGTGGTGCGTAATCGTGGTGCTGGTCGCCGTTGTGGTGCTGGTCGCCGTAGTGGTGCTGGTCGTGGTGGTCCTCCTGGTCGTGGTGGTGCTGGCCGTGGTGGTGCTGGTCGCTGTGGTGGTGCCGGTCGCCGTGGTGGTGCTGGTCGCCGTGGTGGTGCTGGTCGTGGTAGTCCTCCTGGTCGTGGTGGTGCTGGTCGTGGTGGTGCTGGTCGCTGTGGTGGTGCCGGTTGCCGTGGTGGTGCTGGTCGTGGTGGTGCTGGTCGCCGTGGTGGTGCTGGTCGCCGTGGTGGCGCTGGTCGCCGTGGTGGTCCTCCTGGTCGTGGTGGTGCTGGTCGAGGTGGTGCTGGCCGCCGTGGTGGTGCCGGTCGCTGTAGTGGTGCCGGCCGCGGTCGTGGTGGTGCAGGTCTTGGTAGTGGTGGTCGTCGTGGTGGTCCTCTGGCCGTGGTCGTGCTGGTCGTGGTGGTGGTGGTGCTGGTCGTGCTGGCAGCAGTCGTGCTGGCCGCGGTCGTGGTTGTGGTCGTGGCGGTCCTCCTGGCCGTAGTCGCGCTGGTCGTGGTGGTGGTTGCCGTGTTGGTGCTGGTCGTGGTGGTCCTCCTGGTCGTGGTGGTGCTGGGCGTGGTGGTGCTGGTCGCCGTGGTGGCGCGTAGTCGTGGTGCAGGTCGCCGTGGTGGGGCTGGTCGCCGTGGTGCTGGTCGCCGTGGTGGTGCTGGCCGTGGTGGTGCTGGTCGTGGTGGTCCTTCTCCTCCTCCTCCTGGTCGTCGTGGTCGTCGTCGTGCTGGCGGAGGTGCTGTTCGTAGTTGTGCTGGTGGTGGTGGCGGTGATTGTGGTGCTGTTCAGTAGCTCTGCTGTCGGCGTTCCTGCGAGCTGCTGTGCCCCGCCCTGACCGTGCGCGCCCCCACGCGGGGGCCGGTGCTCTCAGGGGAGCGCCGACAGAACGTCCCCTCGCCAGGGATTCTCCCCGTCTGTCGCTAGCGTTTCAGAGGGCACGTCCTCGAGCAGGCTCGCGGCCAGGGCGTCGTGGATGGCGTACGCCAACATGCCGCTCCACCTGTGCAGCAGCGCGGTCGCAAGCGATCCTCGCAGCGCCGCCGGCGCGCTCCTCGCCCGGGCGCGGGCCAGGGTAACGAGGAGCTTGTACGCCTCCTCGTCCCAGCGGCCGCCCGTCTCTGCTCCGGCTACGAGCAGGTAGCCCCGCCGCGAGCCCACCAGCTCAGGGTAAGTCGTTTGCTTGCGGCGCCTCGCCCGTTTCAGCGCGAGTCCTGGGCGGAGCCTCCGCGCAATCGGCCTGCCGGTGGCCCTCAGCGGGGATACGATGCAGGCGTCGATGGCGAGCTGCCTGCCGTGGTAGGCAGGGAGGCCGTTGGCCACCACCTCGATGCGGCGCCCGTCGTTGGCGGCAATGCCCGGGAGGTTCATGTCGCGCAGGAACACGTTGGTGCGGACACGGCCTCCTGCCTCCCGGCACACCCGGGCCCACATCCGCTCGATGGGAGCGCCGCGCTTCAGCAGGCGTCCGCTGCGGGGGCAAGCTGCTCTGTGGTCGCCTCTCGTCCAAGTGGGCCTGGCAGGAGCGCCCGTTGCACCTGCTTGCCGTGGCGTCCAGCGGCAAGCGGAGCCGTCTCTGGAGCAGTGCCCGGAAGCGCTCAGGCGTGAACGTGCTTTCTGGCGTCGAGGGGATCAGGGCTAGGTGCCGTCCGCCGCAGCGGCCTCCCTGCGAGTCGAGCATGCACTGCTGGTCGTCTGTGAGGCTCGGGAGAACGACCTCCTCCCTGTAGCGCCGCTCTCGGGCTGCGGAGGCGTGGTACTGCCATCCGTGCTTCCACTCGCCCGGCTCTGGCTCTGTCTGTTCAGGGCGCGCGCCGTCCCAGACCTCCTGCCAAGTTGGGCGCGTCGCAAAGCCGTCGCGGGCGGCGGCAGCCCTCGCGCGCTCAGCTTCCTGGAGGCACGAGGCTGCGGCGCCTGTTCCGGCGAGGAGGGTGGCGGTGAGCTCCGTTGCTGCTGTAGGGTTTCTTTGTCGCAACATGGGGAGCGCGTCCGCCCAAGACGCCCAGTACGCGCACTCGGCCGCGCGAGCGGCTGATCTGAGTCCAAGGCCTCCGAGGCCGAGCGGCAGCGAGCTCACTCGGGAGAGCCTCTCTGCTTCAGCTGGCGCGGGGTCGAGGTCGAGGAGGTCGTGCAGCGCCTCCTGCAGCCCGCGGTCGTGGGCCTCGGCGTAGGACCGCGACAGCGTCGGAGGCAGCGTGCGCAGGACGTGGTTGCACCTCGGCACCGCGCAGTACAGCAGGAGCGCCCAAGCGCACTGAAGGTCCGGCAGGTTGGGGAGTTCTTGTAGGAAGCTGCGCTCCTCGTCCGTCCTCTGCTGCGTCAGCCGGGCCGCGAACGCCGCGGTGCCCAGGGGCGTGCCAAGTACCTTGAGGCCGCGGTGCTCCTCAGGCGTGCCGGCGCCGCCAACCCACACGTCTGTGCCCAACGACAAATGCCCTGCTGGTTCGAAGCCGCCCCGGTTCCACATGCGGCACTTGCCGAGGTTCGCCTCGATCCCTGCCCACTCGCGCATGGCAGCGGTAACCACGCGGAAAGCCTCTGTGGCGCGCTCTGGTCTGCAGACAATGTAGACGTCGTCCAAGTGGGCGATCAGCGTCTCGCCCGGCTGAAGCTGCGCGCGGGCTCTGTCCAGGGCGCCATGCTGAGCCAGGGAGTACAGTGCCGGCATGAGCGGGTCGCCTTGCTCTCCGCCTTCTCCCTGCCTCACCTCGTGCGCGACTCCTGCATCGTCTGTCCAGAGGTACGTCGACGGCTGGCCGTAGGAGAGCAGGACGAATGGGACCATGGCAGAAGCCTCCGGCAGCGAGAGGAGCTTCTCGATCATGCGGTCGCGGCGCACGTGGTCGAAGGCCCCAATGCCGTCGATGCTGACGATGGTCGCCGCGGGGTCGGAGTCCGTGGCCGCTCGGAGGAAGTGGGCGGCGCTGTCTGTGCCCGCTCTCGTCGACAGCGCGTACTGGAACGGCGCGCAGGCGTCGTCCATCTCGGACCCATACTGCCGGGAGAGGGCCTTGCCCACGAGCCGGCGGAAGGCGTCGCCTGCAACAATGCCTCGCGCGCGGCCGTTGTCCTTCAGCAGCGCCGTCATGCGGCCTGTGCCCAGGGCGCGGGCAACGCTCGCTGGGATCTCGGCCCGCGCGTAGCGCTCCGCCACGGCAGCTTGCAGCTCGAGCGTCTCGTCTTCGTCCAAGGCCAGCTTGAGCAATTCAAAGCTGGCTCCGCTCAGCGAGCTGGAAGACCCTTTCGGGGCGGAGCGGACGCAGTCGGTCCAGATGCGGCGGTCAAGCTCGACGGGCCGAGCCGGCTGGAAGGCTCGGGCGGCAGGCGGCAAGTCGGCGGCGGGCCTCGGCGGTCGCCGGGCGGGGTCCCGCAGTTCTGCCAAAGTCTCCGCCGTGCCCGGCGCCAGCCCGCGTGAGGCGAGCAGCTGCCGCGCCTTGCTGAGGCCCCCTGCTCTGACCAGCGCCACCGCGTCTTCGCCTCGGCGTCGCCAGCGCCGCGCGCTCCTCCCGGAGGCCGCTGCCCTTGCAGGCTTGGGGCCAGCAGCGCTTCCCAGGAGCCGTCCTCGAACTGCTCCGGTCGCGCTTCGAGCTCTCGCCGCCCTGGCGCTCCAGTGCTCGCGGTCCGTCGCATCAGCATGCGCCAGATGAGGACCAGGAGCTTCCAAGCCCTCACCTTCTGCAGCCCGTCGGCGTCGCCAGGAAGGGCGTCTGCGCGCAGGACCTCCTCGAGGACCGTGTGGTAGAGTTGGCGAAGGCGGCCGCGGAGGAAAGCCGGCGGCGCCCGGATGCACGGCACCCGCCGGCGCAGTTCGGCCTCCAAGTCCACTGCGTCAAGAAGCGCCCAGGCGGCGTCGGGGAAGGCAGACTGTGCCGGGCGCCGGTTTCGTCGCCCGCCTCCGCCACTGCGCGGCAGCGCTGGCGCAGGCGGCGGCGCTGGCGCAGGCGGCGCGGGGCCAGCGCTGTCGGAGGCGCTGTCGCTCTGGCTGTGGCTGCCCTCTTCCTCGCTGCTCTCGTCGTCGTCGTCGTCGCTGCTGAAGTCTCCTCTGCCGCCTGCTCGCCCTCTGCCTCCTCGGGCGCCTCTGCCCCCTCTGCCTCCTCCAGCGCCTCTTCGTCCTCTGCCTCCTCTTGCGCCTCTCCCTCCTCTGCCTGGTGCGGCGCCTCCCTCTCCCTCCGCCTGCAGCTCCTCCTCGGCGCCTCTTCCGCGCGCGTCTGGCGGGCCCGGTGCTCCAGGCCCTGCTGCCGGGGCGGGTCTTGGAGGCAGCCCGCGCGCAAGCCATGCCCTGTAGGCGTCAGCCTGCACCTCCACAGCGCGGATGAAGTCCACCCCCCCGAAGATCTGCATCACGATGTCCTGGGCGATCGGCTGCACGTATCCTCTGTCGTCGGCAAGGAGCCCTACCACCGCTGGCAGCCCCAGTTGGTCCCCGTGCAGCCCGTCTCCGAGAGCCTCCGGCAGCAGGGGGCCCGCCGCGCGGAAGGCGGACACGTCGGCGCGCGGCCTCTCTCGGAGGAACGCCGCGGCGTTCTCCCACCAGTGTGCAGCAGGGTGCTGTCGCCACGCGGCGGCTTCCTGCACGTCAAGCTGGCCCGCGGCGTCCAGGAGGAGCGGCACGTACATCCAGGAGTTGAGGTAGCGGCTGGTCTCTGCCGCGTGTCGTGGAGGCGACCAGCCGCTGAACTGGGTTCGTGGGCCGTCCGCCGCCGGTGGGTCCGGGCTCCCGCCTCCTGCTCCTGTCTCTGGCGGCCGTTCGGGCTGTGCGGCCTCTGGCTCTGGCAGCGCTGTGGCGGCGCAGCTTTCGCAGAGCCAGTTTCCCTGCCACCTCCAAGGCCCTCTGGCGTCCCCGCTGGCCCGGGCGACCCACTCGACCTGCCCTGGCTGGCCGCAAGGGCACTGCGGCGGCCTCTCGCCCAGCGGCGGCGGGACCTCGCTACCGAGCGGGGCGACATCGCAGGCGGCGCATTCCCAGCTGCCCGTCAGCCCATCTGGCCCGCGCGAGTGCCGCCATCGCAAGGGTCGCTCCGGGTGGCGCGGGCACATGGCGATCGCGTGCGGTGCCGGCCCCTCCGGCAGCACGAGGGGCCCCCCTCGGTACCGGTTGGCCCGCTCCTCGTCGGAACTCGGGTCGCCTGCAACTCCCCGGCAAGGCAGGCAGCGGCACCCTCGGAAAGGTAGCCCCCCGCCGCGCCCAAGGTGGCCCGCCAGCTCCGCGAGCCGCGCGGCAGAGTTCGGGCCGTCGCCCCACCTGTGGTTGCAGAGCGGGCACGCTGCGTCCTCTACCCGGCTGGAATCGCCGCCCGAGTTCCGCAGGTGTGCGAGTCCGCGGCGGAGAGGGCGAAACCGGGCCAGGCAGGCTGCGTGGAAGCAGTGGGGGACGTGGCCGCAGTCGGGCCATTGCACCCTCGAGTCGTCGAGCGGCTCCTGGCACATGTAGCAAACCTCGCTGGCCTCTGGCTGCTCCGGCTCCTGGGGGTCCGGCCCCTGCTGTGGTTGCTGCGGCTGTTGCTGCTCCTCCGCCGCCGCGCGTTCGGCTGTCTCCCGCGGCGGCGCGAACAGCCCAGACAAGCCCCATTCGGCCGCAGGCGCCTGTCCGAACACGGCGCTGAAGTGGCTCTGTCCGGCAGGCAGCGGCGACAGAGACCGGCCCGGCGAACCGAAGAGCTCTCGAGGGGGAGTCTCGGCTTCCGCCGGCCGGGGCGCAGATTCGCCCGAAACCTCGCCCGCTGGCTCGGGCAGGTCCGCTTGCGAGCGTCCGCGCGGCGGCGTGGCTGGGGCAGCGTCGTTGTGCGGTGGCCCTGGGTGGCTCGCCTCACCCACGCGCTGTCCGCGGTAGCCGTACAGCGCGTCTCGCTGGTCCCTCCCTGGTGTGCGCAGCTCCTGTCGTGGTACAGGAGGTGCTGCCAGTGTCACTGCTGGTGCTGGTGCTGGTGGCGGCGCTGTCGGTCGCTGTCGTGGTGTTGCTGTTGGGCGCTGTCGTGGCGGTGGCGTTGGTGTTGCTGCTGGTCGCTGTCGTGGTGGTCGCTCTCGTCGTGTGCGCGGTCGTTGGGAGCCGCCGCCTGCTGCCGTGGCTGTGTGCTGGCTGCCGTCGCTCTGGTCGCCACGGGACTCCCTGCCCTCGCGCGCTCCTCCCTTCACCTCCCCCTGAGACTTCAGAGTCCCTCCAAGAATATGTTCTTCCTGAGATCTCCAAGTCAATCCGGGAGTCTGGGTCAGTGCAGCGCTGGGTGGTGCTCGTGGTGCCGGTGGTGCTGCTGGTGGCTGTCGTGGCGGTGGTGCTGCTGCCGTTGTTTTGCGCCGTCGTGGCTGTGGCGGTGCTGCTGGTGCTGATGGTCGCCGTCGTGGTGCTGCTCGTTGCTGTCTTGGTCGCCGTCGTAGTTTTCCTCCGCCTGTGGCCGCAGTTGGGTGCTGGCTGCTGTCGCTCTGGTCGCTGCGGTGCTGCCTGCTCTCGCGGCGCCCGTGGCGAAAGTGCGCTCTGGTCACGAGCGGCGCGCCCTCGCCGACCCCCGCCCGCACCATCTCTCGGTCGTCGTCGTCGTCGTCGTTGTGCTGCTGCTTGCGGCGCCACTGTTGGGAGTCGTACGGCTTCTTGTTGTCGAAAATGTTGTCGCGTTGCTCCTGTGGGCTTGCTGCGCAAGCCGGGGCGCCACTGGGGACCGCAGCGGAGTCGCGCGAACCCCGATGGGGAACTGGCCCCAGGGGAGTCCTACCGTGGGAATGGGGCTCTTCCCCTGGGGGGCACGGGCTGCAGCTGACGCCAGCCCCCTCCCTCGGAAGGGGCTGGAGGGCTGGCGGCCAGACGGCTGGCATGGCCGTCTGGGGTGGCGGAGGGCCCTGCTGGCTGCCGCTTCTGCTGCTGCTTTTGCTGCTGCTTCTGCTGCTGCTGCTTTTGCTGCTGCTGCTGCTGCTGCTGCTGCCAGGGGGCTGCCGTCCGCAGTCGTTGGCTGCGTGTTGTGGTGCTGTGGTGGTGCTGGTCGTTGGGTGCGTGCTGTGGCGCTGCTCGTTTGGTGCATACTGTGTTGCTGGTCGTTGGTGTTGGTCGCTGTGGTGCTGGTCGTCGTGGTGGTTGCCATGCTGCTGATGCTGCTGCTGCTGCTGCTGCTGGTCGTGGTGGCGGTGGTGGTGGTGGTGGTGGTGGTGGTGGTGGTGGTGCTGCTGCTGCTGCTGCTGCTGCTGCTGCTGCTGCTGCTGGTCGTCGTGGTGGTGCCGCTGCAGCTGGTCCCGGTGGCGACGCTGCCGCTGGTGATGGTTGTCGTGGTGGTGTTGCTGCTGATGTTGCTGCTTGTCGTCGTCGTTGTGCTGCTGCTCGCGGCGCCACTGTTGGGAGTCGTGCCGCCTCTTGTGGTCGAACATGTTGTCGCGTTGCTCCTGTGGGCTTGCTGCACAAGCCGGGACGCCACCGGGGACCGCAGCGGAGCCGCGCGAACCCCGATGGTGAACTGGCCCCAGGGGAGTCCTACCGTGGGAATGGTGCTCTTCCCCTGGGGGGCAAGGGCTGCAACTGACGCCAGCCCCCTCCCTCGGAAGGGGCTGGAGGGCTGGCGGCCAGACGGCTGGAATGGCCGTCTGGGGTGGCGGGGGGCCCTGCTGGCTGCTGTCGTCCTGGCCGCTACCGCGGTGCCTGCTGCTGCCGTTGCTGCCGTTGCTGCCGCTGCTGCTGCTGCTGCTGCTGCTGCTGCTGCTGCTGCTGCTGCTGCTGCTGCTGCTGCTGTGAAGGGGCTGCCGTCCGTGGTCGCGGTGGTGGCGGTGGTGGTGCAGGGTGTCATCGTGGTGGTTGCGGTGCTGCTGCTGCTGCTGCTGCTGCTGCTGCTGCTGGTGGTCGTCGTGGTGGTTGTGCTGCTGCTGCTGCTGCTGCTGCTGCTGCTGCTGCTGCTGCTGGTCGTCGCGGTGGTGCTGCTGCAGCTGGTCGTGGTGACGGTGTTGCCGCTGGTGCCGGTTGTCCTCGTGGTGGTGGCGGTGGTGGTGCAGGGTGTCGTCGTGGTGGTTGCGGTGCTGCTGCTGGTGCTGGTGGTCGTGGTGGTGGTGGTGGTGGTGCTGCTGCTGCTGCTGGTCGTCGCGGTGCTGCAACCGCTCGTCGCGGTGGCGTTGCTGCCGCTGGTGCTGGTTGTCGTGGTGGTGGTGCTGCTGCTGTCGATGCTTGTCGTCGTGGTGGTGCTGCTGGTCGTAGTCGTTGTGCTGCTGCTCTTGGTGCTGGCTGCCGTCGCTCTTGTCGCTGCGGTGCTGCCTGCTCTCGGGGCGCCCGTGGCGGATGTGCGCTCTGGTTATGAGCGGCGCGACTTCGCCGACACCCGCCCGCGCCATCTCTCGGTCAGCGTCCTGTCGCCGGTGCGGGCGCCGGAGCTGGGAGTACCCACCCCCCTCCAGGGCGCTAGCTGTGGTGGTGGGTGCTTGTTGTGGTGGTGGGTGCGCTTGAGGTGGTGTGCTTGGCGCGGTGCTTGTGGTGGTGCTTGTTGTGCGGTTTTTTGTTGCTCGTTGTGGTGCTGGTGGGTGCGCTTGCGGTGGTGCGCTTGGCGCCGGGCCAAAGCAGGCGTGCCCCCCGAGCAGCCCCGCCCGCGCCATCTCCTTGTCAGCCTCGGTTTTCTTGTGCGGTCGGCGCGGGGCCTGACCGTAACGCGGCCGCCCAGGGTGCAGAGACAAGTTGCTCTGGTCGGGGCGTTGCTGCGGCAGCTGGTCCTCGTCGCGCGGCGCCTGACCCTTGGCCGCCTCTTGCGCTCGTCGGGCGGCGACAAACCTTCTGCCAAACCTCTCTGTCAAGAACGCGCGCCGGCGGTGAAAGGCCGTCGCCTGCTTCATGATCGCGATGTGCTCGGCGATCGCGTCCTCTAGGTCTTGTCTCGCGGCTCGTCGGCGAGCCCGTCGAAAGCCTTTGCGAGCGAAAGCTGCCCGGCACGGCGCCTGCCCAGCTTCCCTTGCCTCGAGTGGCCCCTCTTGGCGAAGGCCGTGGGTGCACCCTGTACGCGTGACACCCTGCGCGTCGTGGTCTCGATGCTGTTTCCAGTTGTCGTGGTTGTGGTCGTTGCGATGCCGCTTGGTGTGCGTGTGTTGTCCTTGGTGTTGCTGGTCCTGCTCTTCCTCTGCCTCTGCTTCGGCGGCCCGCCGAAAACGGAGGGGCCCGAACATCTCACCCCTGATCAAAGTGGGCCCCTGCATGAGCTGGCTGCTCTTCCTCGGGTGGGCCTCCGAAGAGCAGCGACGCCCGCCCACTACCTCCCACAGGCCTGGTGGAGGGCCGGGGTCAGGCGGGAGCTCCGCAGTGCCGCTCCTCTCCTGGCGGGGTCCGCCTGTGCGGTTGCTCCCGCCTTCTCCTCTTCCTCCCCTCTCCTGGCGGGGTCCGCCTGTGCGGGTGCCCCCGCCGCCTCCTCTGCCTCCCTCCTTCCTTTGCGGCGCTGCCTCACGTGCCTCCCCCTGAGGCGCTGCTCCTGTGCTCGCCTTGCGTGCGCGTCGCCTCCCCTCTCGCCGCGCCGCCGCTGCTTCCCCCGAGCGGCGACGCGGCAAGTCGGCAGGCATGCAAGCTGGCCCAGGCGAGGGTGCCATCGCGCGCGGCCAGGGCCCGACCCCCGCCCCCTTCGAGCCCCCTTGAGCCACTCGTCGTGGTGGTCCTCCTGGTCGTGGTGGTGCTGGTCGTGGTGTCGCTGGTCGCGGTCGTGGGGGCTTTTTGTTGCGGTTCTGGTGGTGTTGCTGATCGTTTGTGGTTGTGCTGGTGGCAGCATTCGTTGTGCTGCTGGTCCCATTCGTTCCGGTGCTGCTGGTCGCTGTCGTTGTGGCGCTGCTGGGCGTGTGGTGCTGCTTGCTTGGGTTGTGGCGCTGCTGGCTGCAGTTGTGGTGCTGCATGTCGTGGTCGTTGGGTGTCGCTGGACGGGGGTGCGGACCCGGTGGTGATGCTGGTTGTGGTCGTGGGCCTGCTGTTTGCAGTCGTGTAGCTGCTGTGGCGGTGGCGGTCGTGTTGCTGCTGCTGTTGCTGCAGCCGTGTTGGTGGTCGTCGAGGTGGTGGTTGCCGGCCTGGTGGTGGTGGTGGTGGTGGTGGTGGTGGTGCCGCTGCTGGTTGCAGCCCCGGTGTTCCTGGTCGTACTCGTGGTGGTGCTCGTTGTGGTCGTGCTGGTGTAGGTTGTCGCAATCGTGGGGGGTTCTTGTCGCGGTCCGGGTGGCGTTGCTGATTTTTGTCGGGGTGGTCGTTTTATTGGTCGCAGTTGGGGTGATGCCAGTCGCAACCGTTGCGCTGCTGGTTCTCGTCGTGGTGCTGTTTCGCGCAGTCGTGGTGATGTTGTTGGTTTCTGTGGTGGTGGTGGTGGTGCTTTTGTTGGTCGTGGCAGTCGTGGTGCTGCTGGTCGTGATCGCGGGGCTGGTGGTCGCAGTTCTGGTGGTGCCGCTGCTCGCCGTTGTGCGTGGTGGTGCTGTTGGTCGTGGTGGTTGTCGTGTCTGTTGCAGTCGCGGTTGTGTTGGTGGTCGCGGTCGTGGTGGTGGTTATGTTGGTCGTCGTCGTCGTCGTCGTCGTCGTCGTCGTCGTCGTCGTCGTCGTTATCCTGGTGATTTGTCCTCCCGCTCCTCCTACCCACTCTCCTCCTCCTCCTCCTCCTCCTCCTCCTCCTCCTCCACCTCCTCCTCCTCCTCCTCCACTCCTCCTCCTCCTCCTCCTCCCCTCCCCTCCTCCTCCTCCTCCTCCTCCTCCTCTCCTCCTCCTCCTCCTCCTCCTTCCTCTCCTCCTCCTCCTCCTCCTCCTCCTCCTCCTCCTCCTCCTCCTCCTCCTCCTCCTCCTCCTCCTTCTCCTCCTTCTCCTCTCTTCCTCCTCCTCTTCTCCTCCTCTCTTCATCCTCCTCCTCCTCCTCCTCCTCCTCCTCCTCCACCTTCCTTCTCCTTCTCCTT